TGTGACCTTCAGAGGAGAAATGAAGTAACCTTACCCTGATGTGACAGAAGATAAGTCCAGCTATTGCCATGGCAGTGGTAGTACGACTTTTGCCAGTCCGACAGAAGAACACAAAGGCGGTGTTGGCACTTGGATCACAGTCATAGCCATACTCACACACAACGGACATCAGGTCATCAAAGTCCTACACAACAAAGGAAGCAATTTTCTTGACTACATATTCAGCTTTTACATGCGTGATTTACTTCTCATATCCGGTATTATATACTCTTGCAGCTTAGATGAATGAGAAAAACAAACTAAATCAAAACAAATGTTGGTAAGGATTTTTATTCTCTAGAGTTTGCATACCATATTAATAACTACAATATCCATAAATGGGAATGTGAAATGCAACCCCTTTCATAAAACATTCATGCTTTATTTATACATGTATGCATTTGTTAATCATGAGACAATATGAAAGTTTTTTTTAAATGTATTAGTACCTTCTCCTCCAGGGCTGTGTCATACTGCAGTGGTATCCGGTGGTAGACCATGTCCAGGGTCTGCAGCTTCTGTTGGTCAGCAAGCTCTGAGGGGGTCAGTATGCTCGAGAACTCTTTCTGAACAGGTGATTCTGATACATCGTTGTATACCTGTGTGGTCAAACAAGCAAAACAAATTATGATGATCAAACCTTAATTCAGAAAATACATTACAACAATATTCATTGGTTAAAACTCATCTTTCAACCGAGAAAGAGAGAAAGACATAGAAAGAGAGACAGAGTGTGACAGAAAAAAATGGAAGAAAGAATGAATGCAAATACACAAATAGAGTTTTAAAACAGATTACATTTTACTCACCAGAACAGTGTTTCCTGAATTTTTAATCTCTTTCTTCAGGTTTTCTTCTGTTGTCTAGAATATAAAATAAATTTACTTAGTTCACTTTATATCAATACCTTATAATTAGTATCATCATGTCCGAAACACATTTCCATCTTAGATATCCTACTGATTTACTCACGGTTTCTCCAAAAGCTCCAGTTATCTTTTACCATAGCAAATGTTCTTTACAATGGGGTCAATGGACATTCATAGAAATTATAAGTCACATCTTAAGTACCCCCAACTTATGTTAAAAAGAATTCAAATTACACCATTTATTATTTCTCAATTATTTTTTTCTAGAAAAAGTTACTCGTACAGATTCTGTTGATGTTTTTAACTCAATTCCTCCTGAATGCATTGTATAATACCTAGTCTGTCCTGTATCTCGAATGTGTACAACTAAATAGGAGTTGCTTCCCCTACACCATTGTCTG